ACATGTGACCTGATGTGATCTTAAGATATAAACAAGTACTTGGTATACTTTACGCTCTGGGATACCAAGTGTTCTTGCTTATCTGACAGTTTGGCCTAGACTGGATTTGTGATCCATTGAGCAAAAGCTGTTTTATCCATTGTCTGAACTGGAAGCTCACTGGAAGTAGTAGTATGTTGATGTTATCTAGGGACATCTTGTTACCATTTTGAAGATTGTCTTTTCACTTTCTCCTTATTTGAATAAATTATGTTTTCCTCCCACAATTGTTATTTCATTTTTTTCCCGTTGTACTAATTTTTTTCTTTTCAGAAATATATTTTACTTGTTGCCCAAGGTAGAATTTCCTTTGAAAACTGTTCTTTTTCTGTGGACAATTTTAAAGACATGGAAGAATTAGTTTTATATTGTGCTTCTCACACAACTTGCTTTTGATCAATTCTGTAATGTCTTCTCTAGATACACAGAATACAGATAGCCATTTTGACTTCTCAAATCCCCTTCTAACTTCAGCTCTTCCATTTAAGTCTACTTTAATATTATGTGCTTTTTACTATATCTTGATTTCTTCAGTCATATGTGCCAGATAAAATTTTTAAAAATGTTTTCTCCACCCTTAATGACAGAGGATTTTAAGATCAGCTTGCAACTAGTTTTGCAAGCTGATCTTAAAAATTAAAATAGTAGATCTTAAAACAGATTCATTTTCTTTTCCCTTTAGTAGTTTCATTTTATTATAATGTGAAGATTATTAGAAATTGAATTCTTAGGATATTTTTAGAACATAATACTGTTTTGTTAAGAAAGATTACTGTATCATAGATATGTATATGAGAATATGAAATGTTGGACATTTGGCAAATAAGTTTGTGATTTTCTTTTTACTCTTGTGTCTTTACTGACAATATGCCTTTCCTGTAATTTTGTATACTTCTATTTTTTTTTAATGAAAAGACTTTCTTTATAAACTTTAGTGAGTTAGCAGTTTTCTCATGAAAGCTATTTCATGTTTGCAAATTGGATCTTGGAGTCAGGTTCTGGTACTAAGGTGATGAGTCAGTACCGTGGTTACGCATGACAGGATAGAGATGCAAGAGAGAGCCAAACTCCCTGGAGGACAGCCTTATGCTGATCCGCAGCAATCCTAACCCTTAACCATTCTCCTAAGAGGAAGTCACTTTGCTAGCCTCACCTGAACTTTGACTCAATTCCTAAGTAGCAGGGGCTGATCAAAGAAAAGGTTTGGTCTATGTTATTATGTTAAGCACCTTGATTTCTTCCCTAATGCTGAAGTTACACTGCAGAAATCTGAGCTTTTTTTATGCTTACTTAGGTCACTTACATACTGAAAACCTGATATCAACCATTTATTCCTTGGTTCTGCTTGTCCACATTTGCATGCATTAACTGTTCATGTGATGTCAAAAGAAGGAAAATTTTCATTGAAGACTCAAAAGGGAGTCTTCTGTATACATATAATCAATTTTTACATTGATCAGCATGTTGCAGAAGACTCCCCTCACCCCCACCCCACATGTAGTTGTCCACTTTTCATATCTGGGAATTAGAGTTTGTAGACCAATCCTAGCTGCCTATAATGCCAAATCTTGAATAAATTATATCTCTTGTCACTAAGAAAAGTACTAATATAGTACTACTACATAATGTGTGTATGTGCATGTGTGCATGTACATGTGTGTTCTATTTCCTCTTCTTAGGTTATAAAACTGACATATTAATTTCAGCAATTTATGAAATGTGAAAAAAAACCTTTTTATAACCTTCCTTTATAGAACAGCTTTGGTTAACATTATGAACAGAGTGCTTACTGTCATGTTTTTATGCATATTATATTTTATATCATAGAAACCAGGCTATATTAAGTTTTCATTTATTTTTAAAATATTGTCACTTGCTTGTGGTATTAACCCTTTTCAGATATTAGAAAAAATTGACTCTAGCAGGGCAGTCATGTTGTTGAGAGTATATTAAGTTATGAAGCTACGGTTTCATTTTATCTATTTATTGAATTTTTTAGAATACAAATGAAAATTATTGTGCTGTAGATGATAGAGTAGTAATTAGGATATGAACTTCCTTTAAATGAAGCAATTAAATATTTGTCTACAAATACATTTGCAAAACTAACTAAGTCATTACTGAATGGTAGCTAAATTTCTGATATTTTGTCCTATGTATGAAACAGTATTTATTAACCTTTTGTGATCACCAGCCCTCTGGGAATTCAGTGAAAGCTATGAACTTTCTTTTCAGAGAAATGCATTTTCAGACAAAGAAACTAATTTTAGTGATAATCATTTGTGATATGCTAGGCACTCTGCCAACAGCTTTACATGTGTTATTTAATTCTTACCAGCACAGTATAAGGAATGCTGTTTTATTATCCTAAATTTTGTAAAGATATTAAAGCATAAAAACATCAATTTATTTTATGCAAACCTAGGAAACTAGTAACTAGAAAATAAGGGCTTAAATTGTAGTTGATATAACCTCCAAAGTTTATTCCCTTAAAATCATTGTGCATGTAATTTTAGGGAGCTCATTAATTCTAAAAGCCTGCTTATTGATACTCAGGTTAGCATCTCTTAACTGTAGTAGTCCAGAAATTTTCATTGGCAGTGACAAATACATGCAGTTAATGACTGCTTCTATTTATGTATATTATTATTAAACATAATATTTGTTAACTCTTACTGTTTTGTACACTTGTTGGGTTTTATTAAATGTACTGTATCCCCCAGGAGTTTACTGACTACATGAAAATATAGAATTATATACATGAAATAGTGAGAAAAGGTATGAAGTTGAATATTCAGTAATTAGACATTTTTCATAATAAAATTAATCCCTTCTCCTTGTGACACCTGGTATAATTATCCTTTTTTTGTAATCTGATTTATAAAAGGGTAAATCAAAGGCCACTATATCCTTTGGGAACTTAAAAGATTCAGTGTGTCATAAAAAAAGGTCTATAAAGTAACTCTGAGAACTAAATATGCATCATATCAAGATTCCTGAGTGGTTTCATCAGCTTCATCTATTAATCCCAGGAATAATGTCCAATAAAGAGATTCAAGAATATGTAACCAGCTTCAAAGCATTGAAAATATATCACAGGGTAATTCTGTGGAGTAGGATAGAAATGGAACAGCAGAATGTCTTCATAGTTGTTGCAAGTAAGGTTCCTAATATTCTATAGGACTGTAAATGCTTCAAATGATGCAGCATAAAAAATGACATGATCAATAGACAGAATCTGTCAATCTTAAAATAAACCATCAAATATGGGAAGCATATTAAATTGACTGCCTAACAAGACTGTCAAAAACAGTGACTATAGCTATAATCAAAAGAATTTTAGGTTTTTAAAACTTAGGCTGCATACACAATAGAGTTAATTTATAAGTGGCATTTGAATTTTCCTCTCAAAGCAAATAAAAACTTTCTGTGACTATGAAACAGTTTATCTCATTCTTTTTATGAGTCTTTACTTATAGTACAATTATTTCTATAGAGTTGTATAATACATTTGTGCTATGTTTAAATTAGTTTAATTAATCACTTTAGAATTCATTTCACATAGTAATCTCATAATCCTACAATCTAATTAATTTGGTAGCATTATTTTCAAAAGTGGGTAAGGATTTTATGAAAACTTGTTATATCTAAGAAGCTCCCAACTAGAAATTATTTTTATACAGAAATTCTATTCATTATTGACAAGTCATCATTTAAATTTATCCAGTGACTGAAAGTAATTTTCCAGACATATGGAGATACCTTAATAGATTTTATTTAACTTCAAAAAAAAATATGATACCAACTCTATGATTCCTTAGATTTACCACAGAGGGAAAATTATTCAAAAGTGAAACACTCCTTTTTATATTCATTTTGAACCGATAGTTGTTTTTGCAATAAATAGATTGTTAAATGCCCTTCTTTATACTTTGGCTTCATAGACAAAAACAGAGACATAGTAGTGGTCTGACTTTAGAATTTTGTCTGCATTCATGTAGTATATGTTACAAGGAACATAAGACCTTTTGATTTCATAATAAGCAGGGCTTAGGGACAATAAAACCTGACATTCTTAACTGTTATTAGTATTTGTCCCTGTAGCCCTGTACAGTTATCTTCTTGTTAATGACTTGGAAGCCCAAGTCATAAACTCAGTTTGTGCTTGAGGTGCTACTGCAGATTGCAAATAGCATTTGTGTGCTCTCTGACCTAAGAGGGAATTAGGGTAGATGGAAGAGAAGAACGAACTGAGAGAAAAATGAAAATAAAAGCCAAAGATAGCATGCCAAATGGAGAGACTTGTGTAAATAAACCTTAATTTTATAGTGAAATTCATTCAAATGGACATTTTCATATCTGCAAATACTCCTGTGCTCAAAAGCCAAGGACTAGATTGGGGCAGCCTCTGCTGCTGCTACTGCTGTGTGTGTGTGTGTTGGCACTCATGAGATAATACAGATAATCAGTGAGGAATAATTAATGATGTGGCAGGGAATATTTTTTGATAAATGCTTGGGGAATGAGGTGACAAGCGTGAAATTAGAAAATTCCTTCAGCGATCTAAAATATAAATAGCTTTCGGAACTGAAAAGAGTTTCACAGCTGAAGATTTTATTGTGTCGAGAGGAAAAACTTTTTTCTCTCCCTCACTCCCTCCTTCTTTGCAAGTTGTTTGTCCATTCACAAAACAAATACTCTGAAGCCCAGCGCTGCTCATGGGAATAAATTTCAGGTCGAATTAGTACAGTTTCCTTGCTGTCAGGATGCTGGAATTAATGGTGTTTTGATGACACGAATTTTGAAGGGCAAACAAAGAAGCTGAAGGGAGAGAGACATGACTCCTTAGAAGCTTGGTCCTCCTCTCCCCCAGCCTCTCTTGTCTTCCCTGTCATCCGTCTGCCAATCTCCCTGTCCATGGTTAGTTAAAGGCGCTTTTTATCCTCTTTTCTTTCCCACAGAGTTTGCCAGATCCGGCCCGGTGCCTGGGTTCCAGGAGGACACGCTGCAGTTGGCCTTCATCGACTTGAGACAAGTAAGTCTTTGTGTTTTTGTTTTTTGTTTTTCTTTTAAGATGTGTGACTGAAGACCATCAGGTCTTAAGGAAAAGGGGAGGGGAGGGGTATTGGCGTTGGCGATTCACACTGGAGACCTAAGGGTTTTTCCCTGTGTTTGAGGCCACCTCTTTTATTTAGCTATCTGGGCTCCTTAGCTATGGTGGAGTTAAAGGTTTTGTGGGCAGAAGAGAAGGCAGGGGGTGGGAGGAGGGATCCAGGGAGTAGAGGGACTCAAGTGACCCTCAAGTGATGTGACCCATTGTGTTGTAGTTGGCTTCTGCAGACACAGCAAAAAGATAACTCATCAAGCCAATACTAAGCAGGTGCACTGATGCAGAGATTGCCTGCTTGGAGAACTTTGTTTGCAGATAATGTGGCCAGAGGCACTGAAGAAAAATGAAATATTTTAGTTTCTGGATTGTTGGTTTCATTCATTGACTTTTTTCTGCTGCCTGAAGTCTTCCCATTGCTTCCTTTGATACATATGATCAGCCATAAGTGACCAAGTGGTCATCCTGAAGATGATTAGCAAAGACCATGACCAGGCATGTTAACCTGAAAACCAGCACTGGTCAAGTAATGTAATGAAAACTAGTACTTAGGCACACCTGAGGTTGGCAAGCCCAGTACATAGAGTCTTTCGATGGCACTGCTTCTTATAGATTGAAATGGGTGCGTTGGTGGGCCATGAAAGTTTGGATATAGTGGAACAGAAAGGGTGGAGGCCCAAAGAAGGGAGAGAGTTAACTGGGCTCTGTCATCTCTTCACTCTGAAGATGGATGGGGTTGGATAGAAAGTGTGAATGAAGTAAGAATCAATGACTGATGCTTCTCTCCTATTAAACAATCTTTTTTTTTTTTTGTCTATTTTAAAAGGGGGGCTGGCTTTGTTTCTCCTGCCATAATGATGCAGTGCCTCTTGTTTTCAGAGCTGACATAGTTTGCATTCTGAAAACTTGTAGATGCCCAGGGTATTTCTTAAAGCTATAAGACCCCTTGTATTGGTAGTCTCCTTATTACTGTGACTCGATTCATGCTGGAATAGCTTTTAACCCATAATGGATGGCCTGAGCTACCTCTGAATCCTTGTGGATGGCTGGTGTAATCTGTCATCTGATGACAATCCTGGAAAGCCCTGTGAAGCAGAAAACAAAATTGTGTCTGTAGACCTACCAAATTTGAGGATTCAGGCTGTGTTTCAGAAACGTGTGTCTACTTAATATTTGGGGGCCAGAATGGGAGTTCTCTTATACATAAAAGGTTTCCCAGAGTGATCATAAATGGAGCTATCTCATCCCTTACTTAAGACCTGTGGATTCTACAATTCAATTGATACACTCAGGTTTTAACCCTTTCACTGATACAAGATTGAAAGATTGAGGTTTTGATTTAGGCTTTTGTGGGGGTGGTATGTGTTATATTCTACCATGCCTCCCCTCATTCCTTCTTAGAATCTTCTAGGCCAGTTGACTTCTTGGAAAGCAGAATTTTAATTTCACTGAAGAAACATTCACAAGAAAAAAGTTTTTCTTTTCTTACTATTCCTGAGAAGAAAGAACTGTGGTTTTTCTCTCTAGTTTGTGGTTTGGCTCCCTATGGAAAGTGTTAATTAAGGGAGTAAGTTAGAAAGCACAGTCAAAATAAGGTAAATCTGAGCTGGGGATGAATGCTCCAGTATTTGTGACCTCTCGGTGAGCAACAGTGTCATTTATGCTTAAGTCCTGTTTTTCTGTTACATTTGTGATTCCAGAGTTTCTTTTGTGTGTTGTAGTGGTAGAAACCAGCAGTCCAAATTTTTACTGATAATGAAAGACTATGTCTCCTCCCATTGAATCTACCCCTAAAATCTACTTATGTCTGTTATTTTTGAAATAGCATCAGGGTAAAATTTTCCAAAGGAGGTAATTTGAAAACTTCTTAGCTTTTGGGTTGTATTAACAGGCCTCAGGTAAGTTGAATCACTGTGAGAAAAATGATCCTTTCATGTCCTCTTTTTGCAGTTAATCTTAGTCATTTTCACAAGTTATTTAAAGTGGATGTTCTTTTAAGGAAGACTTATGAAATATAGAGATGTTGAAAGTACAAATAGCCCGGGAATGTGTTTCTGGAGGTGATGTCTTGACATCACATGAGCCATGATTAAGTGCCCTTTTGCATGTATTCTTCAAAATCCTAAAGTAGAATTTTTGAATTTTGAGGTGGAAGCTAATCTTTTTTTTTCTTTTTTTTATTACTTTATTTATTAATATTAAGAAGAAAAGGTAAAACAAATTTTCACAACAAAATAATGAAAAAGTAACAATTGTTAATAAATTACACAACATTATCTTTAGTCACTCAAGTACAAAATATGGGCATAAAAATTACTTCAATCAATATTAGCACAACCTTTCCTATTCAGTGAACTAAGTGACACTAATGGTATAACTAACTTGCACTTTTTTTCTTTCCCCTTCTATCCTTTCTCTTTTCTCCTATCTTAGTTTCTTCTTTTTATTAAACAGTGTCCTTCCATTTCACAGTGACTATTGTATATTTTGAACCTTATGGTTTCACATATCACTGTGGTGTGATGTTTTTCAATCCTTTCTTTGAAGGTGGAGGCTAATCTTAAAAATCACAAAGTGTGGTCGTCAGCTTAATGCTTAAATCTTTGCACAGCTCCAGGACTATGCTTCAGTATCATCCTTGAGAAAGACTTACTGCCAAACCAGCAAGTTTCCTTTAGGACAGGATGATTATTAGAAAATATTTCTTAAAAAGCTGTCTCATTTAACATTGTCTGTTTGAATCTGTATTTTATTATGGCATCCCTAGTTTGGGGCATGGTAGACTTTGTACTCCTGATTTACAGCACTTCCTATTTGCTAGTAATTGGTTCCTTTTTAATATGTAACGTCATTACCATAGATAATGAAGTCTTTATATGATTGATTTTTGTGGACTATTCAAAGACTACAGGTTTTGGTCCTTTTTTTTTTCAGACATAGTATTTCATCTTTCTAAAATGGCATGCCTAACCCTTTTTAGGTTCTTATTTCATTATCCAGATTATAATGACTGATATAATCATTATGGCTTTTATAAGTCATTGATAAGTGTATGTAATGGGAAGCAAAACCATGAGGAAAGGGTTAAGTGAAGGAATGATATATGTACCCATGCAAGTAGTAGCTTTGTCCCCGTGCAGTGCTGAAAGATATGCTTTCCTTGTCATTGTTTTCTTATTATCTTGCATTAGAATTTCAGGCACTATAAATTCAATGATAATTTTCAAGATATTTAAAACATAGAGTGTTTAATGAAGTATCTCTGCATAGACTATAATAGCAGAGTGTCATTTAAAAATCTATAAAATTTCATTGGAAAGCAAATTAAGCATAGATAGCAGAACTATTTTCCACCTGTTCTATTTTCTGCTTTTATATACTTTAGGAAAAAAATGAAATGACATTTTGAATATACAAGCTTTCATGATATTTTACATTTGTATAGCACTTCAGAGTTAAAGCATATGAATATACATATCACATTTGTCAGATTTCTGGGTTTAGAAAAACTGTTAATAATGTGATTGAATGGTACAAATCAAAAGTTCTCTTAACATATTGCATATTTTATACATGTTCATAAAAGTAGGATTGAAGTAGAGTTTTACATGCAAATATCAAATATGTGTATATTTTATCAAAATCCAAATTTGAGTTAATGATAAAGTTTGAGAAGAACAAATTACAGCCTCATTTAATGAAACAGCTTGAAGTGGTATGTTTACATCAAGTACTAACCATTGCTGGCCTTTAAATGGTTCATAATTGAGAATTATACAAGTCTAAGAAGTTTCTGAGTTTTTCATTCTTCAGCAGTACTGTGATTAAACCATAAGTAGACATGCCGATGAACACCAGAATTTGATTTTCACTTCAGTTTATTTCATCAAACTCAGTCCCTGCTATATACAAAGCACAGTAAAAGTGCTATGTATATATACAAATAAATATAATATAATACAGTATAATACAATTTAATTTCTGCCGTCTGAGAGTAAATGGTTAAAAAGCAAATACTTGCTCCTAATAAAAGACATTACATTAAAAGATAAAGCCACTGTGTATAATTCAGCAGCTTTTGCTACATAATAAGTCACTTTGTATCATTGGTTTAAAATTAGAACCATTTATTAAACTTAAGTTTCTACAAAATGCCAGTGGTTCACTCATACTTTGAGATCAGCTGCTAGACTGATAGAGAAATGGCTGACATAGTATGCCTTAGCTAGACCCACCCTTCTGTGCTCCATGTGATGTCTCATCTATCAACAGCCTCATCCAGGCTTATTCTAAGTTATCTATGCAGGGTTCCAAGAGAACAGAGGAAATGTGCAAAGTCCTTGAGGCCAACAGTTGAAACTAGGAAACCATTATTTCTGTTCCATACTATAGCCTAAAGCTAGTGACAAGGTCAGTCCAAATTCAAAACATGGAGCAATAAATTCCCACTTGTACTCTACCTTGTATATAAAATTTACATATACACAATGCAAATAAGGAGCAAGATTTTATCAATAAGTGCAGAAAGAAGTCATGAAGAGAGGAAATCTTGGTGAGCATGAGTAGTTATAAAATATTTAAAATATCCACAGTCAAGCTAGAACGGTATTAATAAGTAAATTATCCCAATCATAGAAAATAGCAGATTTAAGGATGGCTTTCACTGGGATCTAGATGTCTTTCCCCTTGAAACCATCATTTCCTAATTTCTGCTATTTATTCCGTATTTCCTGCTGGTTTTTTTCCTCATGTACTTCTTTGTTTTAAATGGCCTGTTTATCTTGCTCTTCATCAAATGCTGCTTATTGGGAGCTACACTGAAATATTTCACATTTCTGTTATTTGCATTAATTGTGGGAGCCTCTTAACCTACTCAAATAAGTATTTGCATTATTTACTTATAGCAGTTCACTGTGCATGTTTGAGAA